TACATAAATTTACTTAAGTTCAGGATTTTTTGTAGATACAGACATGTTGATTCTGAAATTCAAAGGGAGGCCAGGCACAGTGGCTCACACCTGTGCTCTTAGTACTTTGAGAGGCCAAGGCGGGATTGCTTAAGCTGAGGAGTTCAAGACTAGCCTAAGCAACAGAACAAGATGTTGTCTTCACAAAAAAAAAAAAAAAAAAAATAGAAATATCAGCTAGGCTGGTTGGCTAGTCTCAGCTACTCAGAAGGCTGGGGCAGGAGGATTGCTTAAGCCCAGGAGTTGGAGGTTGAAGTGAGCTGTGATGATTCCATTGCTTTCTAGCCCAGGCAGCAGAGGCTCTGTCTCAAGCAATCAATCAGTTGATCAATTAAATTTAAATGAAAATAGCCAAGGCAATTTTACAAAAGAAGTGTAAGGTGGGAGGAAGAAATTTTAAGACTGTAGAACTCAAGCAGTGTGATATTAATGAATAGATCAACACATGTTAATGAAACAGTATAGAAAATCCAAAAACAGACCCACACAAATGGGTTCAATTGGCAAAGGTGAAAAGGTAAGTCAGTGGAGCAAAGATGGTCTTTTTAGTACATTATCTATGTACAGACATCCATATGTGTAAAAATGAACTTCAGCCTAAACCTTGTACCTTATCCAAAAATTAATTCAAAATGGATCATAGATCTAAATGTAAAACCTAAAACTATAATACTTCTGGAAGAAAACTTATGAGAAAATCTTTGTGATCTTGGATTAAAGTTCTTAGATCTAACACCAAAAACACATGGCATAAAAGAAAATATTGATAAGTTTACTTCACCAAAATTGGAATCTTTTGTTCTAAGAAAACTAAGGTTAAGAAAATAAGAAGACAAGACACAGAATGGGAGAAAATACATGTATTTGGAAATCATATATTCAACAAACAACTATAGCCAGAAGACTTACGGAATTTTTTAAAACTCAAAAGTAAGAAAATGCAATAAAAACTGGGAAAAGATAATACATAGGTGGCAAAAAAAAAAAAAAAATAAGCACATGAAGACAAGCTCAGCATCATTGGCCCTTAGCATAGTGAGATACTACAACATACCTAGTAGAATGACTAAAATTTAAAAAATAAAACAAGTGGCTGGGCATGGCGGCTCACGCCTTTAATCCTAGCATTCTGGGAGACCAGGCAGGTGGATCACCTGAGCTCAGGAATTTGAGACCAGTCTGAGCAAAAAGTGAGACCCTGTCTCTACTAAAAATAGAAAAACTAGGCTCGGCGCCTATAGCTCAACCGGCTAAGGCGCCAGCCACGTACACCTAAGGT